TGAACATGGCATGAATAAATAAAACTGATTTTGTAGAAAACTCAAGAGACTATTATATTCTATACTACTAATACCTTCTCTTCAAGAGGAAAATTGACATCTTCTGCCCTTGCCATCTGAGCAGCAAATATGAAATCAGTCAACTCAACAACCGTGGAGTCAAGACCTGCGGTGTTTGAAAGAGGAAAAGTGGGGCTGAGGAAGGAGATACTGGTAATCATAAACTATTAGAATTGAATAAGAGACTGAGAAAGGATGGCAATGGCATAATCAACTGACTCAACTAGCAGAATCATCCAAAAAGAATCAAAGCAAAAGTAAAGTTATACCACATCTTTCTATTGCTATTGAAGCCTCCTCTACCGTGTACCCCATATTGACCAAGGACGACATCTTTTTCTCTTTCTCAGATGTAGGATTTATGATTTCCTGCAAAATAGTTAAATTAAAATGTCTTTGTCGTGAACCCACTATCCCTTGTATATTCATGTGTTAGCATATAAAATAGCGTGGACACAAGTTTTAATGATATTGCAGAAAGAAAAATGATATAGTATATTTGTTGCTTGGAGGATTGGGGAAAAATGAAATAGAAAGCTTAGCAAAAATAAAAGGAAAATGTCAGCTCACAACCGTCTAAAAGACATAAAAATCCATAACATACAACCTATTAATGAGGTCAATAACTACCTCATTATCAGAAAAGCTATCCATATCTGAAAAATCATCCAGAAAACTCCCTTCGTTATCAGAAGAACAGGGATTACAATCAACTTGTTGCTGTGCTTGAGGAGAACTTTCAAGAGCCTGCGAAAATATAGCAAGAAAACAGATAAATGTGAATTCTTCTCCTTCTTTTTTCCTTTTAAGTCCGGAAGAATTTATGTTCTTAAAGTTTGGGAACATGAGACCCAGGATACCTGTGATCCATTCACCTTGCAACAAAATTTTAAAATATGTGCTTTGTGTTACCAAGCTCAAACCCAAAATTATCTATATCTCCAAGAATAAGTATCCAAAGCAGCATTGGCAAGCGAAGAAATGTTGACTCACCGAATATGTGAGGAGGGTTTCCAGAATTGAATCCGTGTTCTCCTCTCCTGGATATTCCATAAAAGCGATGTTATATAGTGTTATAATTGAAACAGTCCAGGGAAAAACTCATGCTGAAATGACATGATACAGCTTACCATGTTCCTGAATTGCTTTGGCAACCATTTTTCCAGAAAATCCCATCCCAATAAAATGATCAACAACTTTGGAATTGGAAGGACCTGGAGATGAGCTCGACTATAGGAAGAAAACAGAATTGCATGTTAATTATGTAATATATATTAAATACCCCATCAAGATATTCATCTGGTATATATTATATTTCAGAAAAACTAATGCAAAAACATTTACCTCCCCACAGCCCACAACAGCTTCTCCACCAGGAACTGTCAGACTTGAAGAAGAAGATAAAGTGAAGTTATCAATTTCCAGCTCATCTTCTGTATTCCAGTCAATATCATTCCCATCTTCGCCAGAAGTATTTCCATCCTGCACAAAGTTTATATAAACACACGTGAACAACAAAAAGAAGTAAACTGGACTGGCAAATACTAGACAGAATGATTTTAGTCAACTGAGGGTTCACGCATTACAACTGCAGTGAACTAACAATACATCTATCAAATACAGCCAAACAGCCCAGACTGTAAAAAAAATTTACAAAAACCCAATAAATAGCTGCCTAAATTCCACATTCAGCAAGAAAGATCAATCTTTAAATTCGGAAGAAAACAGACCCCGCAACAGCAGGTGTTAACAAATTGTGTGCAATAACCAAAAAGGTCTGCAAACAGCAATAATTTAATAAATTCAAAATGAAGAGTGACTAAAAATTAACAAGGGACTAATGAATACAGAACTTAGTTAGAAAACTAGTACCATTTCTCTTCAAGCTATGTTTGGCCCACGCAGAGGTTTGCAAGCTGTCCAAGTAATACACAGAAGGAATAAGTGCCAAAAAAAATGCAAAGTTTAAATAATTTCCTAACTTCCATAACAGGCTTTGTAATAGACAACTGGGATTACATACTCATACTATTATGTACCATATCTGTAATAAAAAAATATTACTTAAAAGATCAAGTAATGAAAGTTGTTGAGCCGTCTAAAGAATGACTCAACCAAGCCATTGGCTGTGGCATACGGATCTTTTTTATAGGGAGATTGATGATGCAGAGCTTACATGGGTGGTTAAGCAATAGTAATCGTGTCCCAGATGAACCCAGCTGCAGAGCTATCCCAAGAACCGTTGCTGAAGAGATTCTCATTAATTAGTGTAATGTTAATGAAGGAAACAAGAAATAATAATATCACCATCAACAATAAAGTTACAATCATAAATTCTCATGATAATACCTAAATTGGAAAAACCGTACATAAAGACAAAGTAGCCCAAAATTGGTAGCGAATGAATTCAGGGGAGTTGCCCTGACTACCATCACAGGAAATCATTCTTAGCATCTTATGATTCAGGGCAGACACGTAATACTTTTAAATGTAAAAGCTATGTTGTCATTGTATGTTATGGCTGAATCATTTTAAAACGTATGCATCATTTTGTATGTTATACTTGAATTCAATTTCACCATTGATGTATTTCTATCTCCTAAGATTCTAAATGATAATTTCCAAACTTAGTGAAAAATTTCGTGCTTAGGGAGTTTAAGTCTTACAAACAGTATAAAACCAATATTCAAATAGTAGTAACATGCAGGACGTTATCAACTACTTCTGAACTGGAGTTGACTAGTACTTGACACGAACACGCACAACCCAGAAAGAAGCCGACAAAACTCAATTATCACCATTATCACCAAAGGGGTTGCAAAGAATATAACATCCATGAGGCCACAAGTTAAAAAATTCATTTAGCATTGCCAAAGAAATATTTGATTTTTCATATATTCTTTAAACAATAAATGGCCAGACATTGTAGATTTCAATATGGACCAAACCCCTTTTATCCCCTATTCTTCCTAATTTCAGGATTTGAAAGCCACAACAGTCTCCGCCATCTAATAACATCCACAAAACCCCCTCTTTCTTCAACATCAAGCAGACTAGGAAACAATCTCTACTCTCTATTAATGTAAAACGTAAACCCCCCATTTGTTTACTGAGACAATTGAGGAAAATGAGGAACGAAATCTTTAAAAAGTTCTCAATATGTCCTACTTTCTATGGCAACCAAACAGTGCATTACATTACATCAGTTGCATAAAGAAACTCTTAATCATTAACAGATTCATAAAATTAAATTAAAAAACCCTAATCAACAACAAACATGACGAGAAAGTAATAAGCTACAACTTATAACCGCGATTTGAAAAAAAAAACTAGCCTTGCTCAAAGAAAATTTACCTCCGCAAGCTGAAAATGCAGAGTACCTCTGTGATCGTGAAGGCCTCCTTGTTAATATCGGAAATGCACTTCACCTCACCAAAAATTCGCCTTGTGGCTTTGTACGGTGAATATGAATAGAGCTCCGAGCCTCCGCCCGTTGAAAAGAGAAAAGGGAAAAGGGGCGAGGAAATCTGCAGGGAAACAAGAAGAGCTACTTGCAGAGAAAACCTAGAGAGAGATAGTTGTCGGTCTATATAGAGACACTGGTTGCAGTCGAGAGTTGCGAGAACCAGCGCTGAAGAACCCAAGGGAGGAACATGGTGCCTGCCTGGTGCGTTTGGAAACGCACAACGACACGGCGTGCTGTGAAAAACGTTCAAATACTCGCTCGCTCAATCGGTAACTCCCGCTGTATATTTTATAATAAATTTGGGTTAAATTATATAAATTCATTACAGAAATTAGTTTTATATTCTCTCTCTTTCGTAACACTTTTCTTGAAGCTTCTTTGCGTTATTTATACGAGTGTGAATAGCGTTTCTCTTTTATTTATTCAAATTTTATATATTAACTAGAAAAGCAAAAGTTGGGTCCAGTCAATGGGCCTCACCTTTTGCTGTGTGGTGGGATGAGCAAGTATGTTAATTCCATACTCTCAGGAGTATGAAATTAAGATTCTCATTTTCTTTTTAGTGGAAAGTGACATAAGCAAGTCAGAGCAATAATTATGAAGAGTTATCCCAACTTGTATCTCAACCACCTCACATGGCATGTATAAGTGAGTACAAGCAAAAGACAAAAATATATTTTTTAAGTGAAACTCAAACAAAGTGTCAATAACATTTGTCTATACTCCATATAATAATTTAGCATATAGAAAGGAAACTTTGTTCAAGTTAGAAAATAAAGATATATATGTATTTTTTGGTAAAATTCACAAAAGCGAATAATTGTTTATAAAGTTAAGTTTCCAATTTTCCATATTTACGTGATTTTGTTGATATACTTTTAACGTTGATTACATAGTCCCGTGTCGGGTTTGTTTTGTATGATCTTTCTAATAGGGCATGACAATAAGGAAATGTGTGTTTATTTGTATTTGATGAAATTACTCTTTTGTTACTCATTAATTATCTTATCTTCCCTTTCAAACATTAGGACATAATAAAACCAGCCATCATGTTTAGCAATGGTCACGGTGGTGGCCGCAGCTAGCTTGGAAACTGACCATATCGGCCGACTGACAAGAGGAGAGGGCCGGGGAACATGGGGAATTAAAAACTTTTGCGTGTTCGAATGCTTAAGGGGAAAATGAGAACACAAATCTAACAAAAACAAAAGCGAGAGTGAGAGCCGAGTAATTTTCTTGGCTATAGAATTACGATATGCAAACAATTCAAGTATAATCAGTCTGGCATGAGCATGATCAAGATCAAAATCACTAGAACAGGTGCGATATATCACATTGTCGCCTAGTTACCAAATCTGCAGAGTTTAGGCTACCAAAGAATTCAAGCATATTGGCATAGCAGGCCGCAGTAACACATGGAAACTATACTTATATGCACTTGAACCAATTCTAAATCATTAGATATCTCCACGGAAGCACAGAAAAAGGGCGGGAGGGAGGTAGAGAGAGATTCTATTTAAGTCTGATAAATCTTAGTACATACATGATCCAATCAATAGTCAGTCAGGAGTTTCGAGCGTGTAATGTGCCAGATTGAAAAGGAAGTGTTGGAACTATTTCAAGGAAACAAACTAGGATGTCCATAATTTTTCGCTAGCATTACAATAGTACAGTCTTGCTGCAAACGAATTTGCCTTGGTGTGCCTTATCTAGATACCTAGAAAGGCACATTGCTTTCGGGCATGCTCAGGTATCAGTCTGGACAGAAGCTCAAAAGTTGCTCCCTTCAGCTCTGCACGAGCATCATCATTACAAATGCATTATCAGCAGGTTATATATATATATATATATGTACAGGGATATCAATCACAGAAATGAAGAGCAAACCTTGAGGCTTGAAGTTGAATAGAGGTGGCAAAGGGCGCCCATGAGGGAGACGAGCATTAGGATCACGGAGTTGATCAAAAAATGGGTGGACACAGGCCTCAAGCTGCCAAAATAAAGAAAATAAACAACTACATTTGATATCTAATACGGACATAAGAATTTCAAGTTCAATGGAATTAAAAGTTTAATACTCCAATGCCCCACTAATGTCCATCATAAGAAACTGGATTAAATAGAAGATCAGAATAACTAAATCTCATCCTTGCCATTTTCGCATGAAGACTTCAAAAGAATAAAGATACTTACAGCAGTGCACCTTAGGCTTGGAGAATACTGAAGTAGTCTTGACACAAGATCTACAGCTTCTGGGGGCATGCGCTTGTGGAATATCTGCATGAAAAGAAGATAATACGAATGAAAATGGCATGCAAAACCATCAGAGAAGAGCAATTGTCAGCAAGGAAGCTAGAAACTCACTTTGTGCCAAGGGTGAGCCTTGATTTGGGGGAATTTGAATTCTGTGTAGTTTGGGTTCATACATTTAATTTCCTCACGAGTTGGTGTTCCCAGTACCTAATTTCGGAGGAGAAATGCTAATTCAGTTCAAATTGCAGAAGCTGATTGATCAAAATTTCGAGTTGATCGAAAGATGGATATATACTTTCCACCATGCAGAAGGTAGCGAGAACATTACCTTAATAATCTCAACAAGCTGATCAACTCCACATTCACCTGGGAACAGAGGCTACAACAAGGGTTGCCAAAACAGAGATGAAAAAACAACAAAATGTGAATCCATTTCCTGCTAAAAAATAAAAGAATAAGTAGAACTTTTTATCCTGTATAGAAAACCTGTCCAAGAAGCAGTTCAGCAAGAACACAACCCACAGACCATATGTCAATGGCAGTAGTGTATTCAGTTGCCCCAAATATAAGCTCAGGTGCTCGATAATAACGAGAACAAATATATGATATATTTGGCTCGCCTTTGACCTGTCATGGATAATGATGAAAAAGTTCAGACAAAACAAGGAAGGCAGACCCAAACATACCATGCATGCAACTGAAAATGGATCAAGACAGTTGGCGTCATCTGCATGAGCATGAACAAGAACACAAGTGTAGTAATGCATTTAAAGTTGTACTGGTGAGTCTAGTTTTATGCATTCATCCATGCATTATATATTGCTCTATCTCCAATAAATGTTCTACTGCAAGAAATAAGACACTAGAAGAAGAGAATACCAGGACTTTTGCACTTCCAAAATCACACAGCTTAACCTGATGAGTATGGGGATTGACCTGAAAAAACATATTGCAGTGCCAAAATCAAAATATGATTAAGTAAAAGAAAAGGGGAAAAAGGAAGAAGGATATATTCAACTACAAACCAAGAGATTCTGCGGCTTAATGTCTCTGTGGCATACACCTATCCCTCCATGAATATATGCCAGAGCTCTACAAATCTGACAAGAATGAAAACCAAGCAAAATAAAGTTACCAAAAGAACTCGTACCTGAAAACCCTAAAATTTCTGTCATAATCTTTTGCACATTAATATACTAGTCAACATCTGATTTTTCAATTTAGTTTCTACAGATAGTCCAAAGAACAACAAAAACCTGATAAGTATAAAGTTTGACATATATCAGAGGCATCCGCTGATTGGCTTTGCTATAGTGCTTTGACACACGATAAACAGTCTCAGGTACATATTCAAGCACCAGATTCAGATACAGCTCATCCTTATCTGTGGTTGAAAAGAAACAATGTTTGAGTGACACAACATTCGGATGGTCAAGAAGACGCATTGTTTGCAACTCTCGGTTCTTGTATCTCTTGTCCTGCAAAACCTTCTTGATTGCAACAGTTTCTCCAGTTTCAAGGCATTTAGCCTGCAAAATAAGATAATTGAGGCTTCAAGTATGTGATATGTGATAGTCAAAGGAGGTCAGCCTTCCTATTATTAAAGATTTTTTTCTCTTCATAAATAGATAACTAAGAATCTGTAAGTCAGACATTACCTGAAATACAATACCAAATGAGCCTTGCCCAACAACACGCTCTGCCATGTAACTTATGGTCTGCACAATGAATCAGAGAGGATTTCATGCTAAGTGCTTCAACATGTCAGATAAGCATTGAAGTTTAAGATACTGTAACTTATAGCTAACTAATAGCACTAATAATGGATCAGGATTCTAGCACAATGTAGTATCTTAACTTGCAAGGACAAAAATATTGAAACACTCACTATTTGAGGTTAAACAAATTACAAAATACTGATTTGGGAGACCATGTATCTCCTTTGGTTTTAAGTTATATACTACACGTTTGCCGAAACTTAGGTATGGCGCTTAGCCTTTTTCTAATCTAAGCCTTCTGTAGCTAATATCTAATTGGGTGTTCATATTTATGTGCACATATTGTCTGTATATATATCACATTAGCATACGCTTTCCATATTAGTGATTCTATAATTTAATCCCTGATAAAAACATAAAAACTTCATGGCACTTATCCAATTCTTTTCCTGAATGATTCATGTCGTAACATAATTTATCTATTCCTTCATCCCACATCTTAACCAGCAAGTAATTACAACTGTGATTATTAAACTGAGCAAAATGCACCTGTTTAGGCTGACCATTTCGACCACCAATGGTAGTTACAATAATGTGGCCAGTTTCAGTTCCATTGCCATTCACCACAGCTGTTTCCATTTCCTAACAAAAATAAATAAAACTGTCAACAAATAAATGAAATATAAGTTGAAGTTCTTAAAAGTTATATAACTATAAATAAATAAATGCTGCAAAACAGAAACAATTCAACTTAAGCAAAGCACCTTTTCATCTTTGATCTTCATTTCATTAATTTCCTCTGGGAGCTTATCAGCAAACTTTGTGTTGCCACTATGATTTTCAGCAGCCGGAGCAGCTGCTGTACCAGCTGAAGCCATGTTTCTTGTACTGTGTAAGAACCAACAGGTTCGAGTTTGCAATTTCTATGGGAGCTACGATGATTTATAACCTGAATTTTTTATAATAAATAAAATAAAATAAAAATTATAAATCACAAAACTACACTACAACAACAGTATAAGTAAAGAGAAAACCTGTGAAGCTGCAAGTGCCTGGCATTCTACATTTGCTAGCTAGCTGAGCTCGTCGTCGATCTGAACAACTTCAATACTGGGCTGGGGAGTTGAGCGAAAAAGAAACCCTAACGATTTTCTAGCAACAGAAAATATGATTTAAAAAGAAAGTGAAAAGAGGGAGAGAGGGAGAAAGTTTTTTAACTCCTTGGAAGTTTCAGAGACGTTTCTTACGAGTTTGACTAAGCGAGACCCCTTTGGATACTCTGTCTTTCTGATTCTGAATAAACAGAGCGGGACCCAACCTGTTTTATCAAATCTAGTTAAGAGTTAGTTGGTGTCCATGTTTGAGACTGATTTCATACGTGGCACTGAGCTGGACCGTTTCAAGACTGACGCCACAAGGTTGACTGTCTATATAGTAGACACATGAACACTGTTAAGCAGTTTACGCATATCGTTCGTGAAGGAAATTTTATAGCAAATACTTTGGCGAATGATGGACATAAATATGCTCATTCGCGTACGGTTTAGTGCACGTTTGTCATTGCTTATTTGGGGTGATAAGTGATTTTTTTTAAAATTTGGGAAACTCAACTCGTTTGGTAAACTGTAAGAAAATCATTTATTGTTAAAAATTGCTGTGAGAGAAAGCTATAAGGGAAAACAGCTAATGAGGTACTTTCATTTTCTTATTATATAGGAATCAGTTTCGAAGAGACGCTGGGTTTAATGATTATGCAACAATCATTTTCTGATTATGTGAAAATCAATACCAACAACACTTTTAACAAAAATTTTACCAAAAATTTTACCAAACGACAAACTGCTTTCTCTCACAGCTGATTTCTTTCACAGCAAATCCAACAACGATTATTTTCACAGCACAGCAATGCCAAACTGGCCCTTAGTAATTTTCCTTTTAATTCATATTTTTAAGTTAAATTTGATTGAAGAGATTCTTAGAAGATCCTCTTAGATTAGAGCTACAAATCTCTTAACACGTATCCTTATTAAAATTGCATGTTAACATAAAAGTACATGTGTAGTTGATAGTGTTGATACATATTCCTTTCCAAGCTACAAATCTATTAATGCATAATGTTATTCTTATCGCATTTTGATACCGCAATATAGCCATATTTTGTCATTGAGTCGACGATTGATATTTATACCACATCCTATGTGAGCATCCCTACTACAGGCAACTTATCACCTAACTTCATCATGTGGTAGGCTGGATAAAACACTCTCAAGATGATGCGAACAAAATATACTAATTACTTTAAACAAATTTTGTATATTGGCACATAAATCTTTATTTTTCTTCTTTAAAACAAAAATCTTGCCGCTTAAACATGAAATTGGAACAATGTTTAAGTTCTGATAGTTAGAGCATCTCCAGCGGGTCAGTTTTGTCAAGGCAAAAGGGAGCCCGGGCTAGGTTTAAGCTCCCCGGCAATGAAAGGCAGCCCGAGCAAAAATAGGCCCCATTTATCCATGCAAGAATTACCTGAATTGCTGCTTGGGTTTGCTGACATCAGCATGATGTCAACAACCAATTTAAATACCAAATATATATATATATATATATATATATATATATATACCAAAAACATCATATTTTTTTTTCTATAAATTCACTATTCACATTAATAGTGTCTGCCCTTACTTGCCATTGCCTTTTATCATGGCATCATGGGTGAAAATGCTCTTAAGATGCCATTGTTTGAGTGGGGGTAGAAGAAAATGTGGCAAGACTTAATCGTATGTATCATAATCATACCCATAAATCGGTGCATCCAACAAGTGTCATGGAAAGCCTATGTTTGAGTTTTATATCTAAGGTCATCTCCAACTTAAGGGGCTAAATCCAAAATATCCCAAATTATTGCCTAAAACCTCTCCCAACTCAAGAAAATGAAGGGGCCAAAATTTGGGAAAACCCAAACTTGGACCCAAATACCAGTCTAGGTATTGTCTGGATCCAAAACTATTAATGGAGTCCACCTACATATGAAACAGACCACATGTGAAAAGATTTTGACGTGGGCCCTAGCGCCAAACTTGCTGCTGCTTTTTGTCTTCTTATACTCGGCCACGTGTCGCTCTCCTGTGAATCCGTTGGAATCCAACGACAACATTTGAATAAGCTGCTAATTTTTTTTTGGGTATATACATATAACTTAAATTAACGATCTACATTAAATCTAATCTATTTTAACGGAATAAAAAATAAAATAAAAAGATTCAACGGCTGAAATTTAAATCAAACAGTCAAAATAATATTTTAAAATAATCTAGATCAGATCCAACCCCAAAACTCACTCTAAACTCTATAATACCCATCCATTTATCAAATAATCTACCAAAAACATTTTATCTATTTCTCAATTTATTTTTCCTTTGTCAATCTCATCAATCTCCTTTCATTCTTGTTGAAGATGTCCACAAAATCTCAAAGATATGTGAATTGTGTGTTTTCTTTTGAAATAAAATTATATTTGTGGAATTTTAAATTTTTTAGGTCAAATTGTTCAAAAAATTTAATTATGAAGTTATTTAAAAAGATTGAATGAAGAAAAGTTATCCATAAAAAAAAAATTAGACTTAAATCATTCTTAAATAATTTAATAAGTTGCGGACTTAAAATTTGAGTCCGGAGGATTGGGAGAAAAAACTATTTGAGTTCAAGCAAAACCCAAATAGTTACTTTTTTTAGCTGAAAAATTTAAGTTTAACCCCTCATGGGCTGGAGAAGGCTTAATATGGCCTCTTTTATATCTATGTTTGAGGGAGAAAGTCTTTTTACTCTTTTAAAGTGTGAAAAAATGAAAAGTCTGAGGTTGTACCTAAGATATGGGCCTTATATTAGAGAATGGGCCCATTAAGTCTTCATTGTATTTCACGTCTGTCGTCCTAGTCTACGGGCTCACCAATATGCCACAGCTTAGCAAACCCACAAACCCCTGTCCAATTAGCCCAACACGCACCTAAACGTTGTCATGATTTTTTTTATTTTTTTATTTTGGAGCAGTGATGTTTTTTATAATTTTGAATACAAGCAACAAATACCCTTTTTCACTCGACTATATCTCGTTGGCGGTTGTGATGATTTTTAATAATCAGTGTAATTTGAGGCTATAAATTTATAATAATAAGGGTATTAGGTTTCTAGATGTAAACATGGAGTTGTATCAAATGCTATTGGGGGATGAAGATTTCAGGTGAGATCAAGAACATAGAAAAAATAAGCAGCAAAGTAACCAAAAGTCAAAAGACATGCTATGCTTTTTCCAAATAGTTTTTACAAACCAAACCAAACTATTTCTTGATAATAACACTGTCCCTCTAGAAGAAGGGGCCAATCATTTTTCATTAAAAAATAATAATAATAATACTAATAATAATTCATAAAATTCACTGTTCAGCAGAAACATTGAATTTGTAAGAAACAAGCAAATCAATTATGACAGATTTGTGTCGTAGAATACGGCTCATCCTGATGATAAATAAAATAATTTAAATGTCCTAATTAAAGTGCTACCGATACGGCGTGATGGGTGTAAATTTTGATATTATTCACGCACGAGTAAGACTAATCTCTATAGAGAGTTATCCATATTTCAAACATTGCGTCTTCGACTAGCATAGTTAATTAATTTACTAATTGTTTATTTATTGCTGATCCAGTGATGACTTGGAGTTTAGAACAACAATGGTACACTTTTTAGAACCATAATTACCCAGCTCTATCTTTTACTACATGATTAATTAGTAAAGCGATAGAATGATTATGAACAAATTAGACAATTTAATTATCAATCTGCATCTAATACGTACATGATCATTATCAACAAACTTGGTTTACTTTACTGTAGACAAAGCAATGGCATGATATCTGGAGTAACCGATTTAACGGTTTTCTGTTGTCATCGATGATGTATAAGAGCAAGCATGATGCAACCGTCACTTTCACTCGAAAATTTCAAGAATTTTTAGTTGCCCGTGTTTTAAGGTACAAGGCAACCCAAAAATACGCCACTCAAATTCATATTTATTTTAATATTGCCGTATTTTTTGGTGTGAAAAAGTCGCTACAATAAAGTTATGTAACATTGATTTGCTGCTAAATTCAAGCTTTTATATTCCTTAACTATGTGGTTGGGGGTTTGATCCCCACCCATGGGAATGGAGCGCATTTCGTGGCCAGCTGTTTACCTCCTTTGGAGAGCTCCCGCAGCGAAAGGGATTAGTCACTACTATCAGCGGTGGACACCCTTGAATCTCATCCAAAAAGCTCTTACGGTTGTAATTGGGTGAGTACTAAAGTCGTGATTATCTTTTGTAATCTGTTGACAGCGCGTGTACCGTAGTCGTGATTATCTTTTGTACCCCATTTTTTGAATTCTTGTTTGAGTCGAATATAGGTTCAAGTGATTAGTTGTCTTTGTGGCTATTGTAATTGAGCCTTTCGACTTTTATCAATGATATTTCTATCGTTTGGTGAAAAATAAAATTATATCAGGTGAAAGAGAAAAATAAGATCATTACGATTACGATCATGTACTCTGTCGCTTCCATTGGTTTCCAAGCAAATTTTAATGCATCATGTTGGCATCACGTCTGAGTGTGTTGGGAGGCCCTGATTTTGGGATTTGAGGTTTAACTTTTTTTTTTTCTTCATAGAAGCTGAATAAGTCCAATTTATAAGATCATGCACTAGATATGCGTACGCATGATGTTGCACGACAGTTGGTTTAGAATTTGATTTGACACGTGCCATGCCATGCCAAATCGGTTTCCCAATTGATCCTGACCGGCTGTTTGATAAGATCCAGTTTTCTTTCTTTCTTTCTTTGAATTTCTTACTTTATCCAGAGCAAATCTCGTTCAAGTCACTATTTGTTTCTTGACTAAGAGTTGATGAGGAAATATGAACACGTTTTGTTATTAAGTTGCTCATTACTGAGATTATGGATGAAGAATCTCGTGTGTTTTTAGGAATTTGTTAATTGTGGGTTTAGGAAATGGTTAATTTATCAGCTCATGTGCTTATCGATTCCAATTAAATATATACATACATTCGCATGCCCATAATAATAATCTACCAAGCCTTATATTGATGTATACATGTTTCCACCATATTCATTGAATTCTAAAATGACTAATATCTTTTAAGTCTTTATATTGATGTATACCCCATTTTCTTTTTTTGGTAGAGAAGAGAACCCCCCCACCCAGACAATGAAAATCAGTTTTTTTTCCCTGACATAAGCGATATTGGGCG